TTGTCAAATTCCATCATTTTCCAAGTGCACTCTAAATTAAGTGCAAAACACACCTGTGACATTGTGGCTTCAGGCTGCTCCCTGTTATTATCCTTGCTTCATAATAATATTTTGGAATAAGTAGAAAATCCTATGTTGTAACCATCACTGATTCCCAAGCGCATAACAGCCACCACAGGTGTTGGTCTGATTCCTGGCTCACAACAGTCCATTGTCCAAAATAATCCAACCTTTTCCCTCCAAGATCTTTAAGCTGAAGGTGTCTGCTTTCAGGTCATAAAATAAACCCAGACATCCCAAATATGAAAAATGATCATTCACATTTTATTAAAGGATAGAGCACACCAAGCAAGATTGATTATTCTGTGCACAACTAACTATAAAGTAACTATTCCATGTTGACCTGAATAATCAAGAAAAGCATGGTAACCAGGTCAGGTGGTCCTGTGCAAAGGTTACAGGTTTACCTTAACTTTTATCAGTGCTGCTTTCGGAAACACACAGCACAATGCAGATGATCAACTTCAAGTAATTGAAAATGCTGCATCCAGTGCAATACAGTTATACTCGTTGGTGTGCAAGTTCCAAACAATATAAAACAGCAAGTACTGTACCAGAGATCTGTATGAGCAGTAACCTCGTATTTCAATTTTGAATTCTAAAAGGCACGACTGTACATTACTGAGGCAGCATACCTGCATGTTACTTCAGGGGATACTTGTAGAGTTCAAACAGGGATAAGTCTTTTCTCAGTGAATGGGTTTCTTTCTTTATTGCTGATTCTTGCAGTTTTGACATCATTTTTGACTGCAGGGAGAAAGCCTCCTACTCATACATCACAGCTCAAACCTAAAGTTAACACCAGTTAATAACAGATGATACGAGTGCATTTCTCCTGTCACTTTTCTTGAAGTTTGATTCTCACACAAAAGCTCCCAAAAAGGATATTGCAGACACATTTGTGTTTGAAGTAGTTCAACCAAATACTGGAAGAGCTTTCATCTTAAACCTTTTGTACTGACATGGTACACTGCTGACCACATTCAATGCAGGATCCCTGAAATCCAGAAACTGAAAACAAGTAATATTTCAGTATTTACTCTATGAGTTTACACTATTGTTTTTCTATATATCTGCCTTAAGTTTAGTTTTAACTAGTAAAATACATGTTTGCTTCTAAATACTAATTAATAGCACAACACCCCTAAATCAGCCATATAAAAAAAACCTGCAGTAAACAATATAAATATACACACACACTGCAGTATATAACCCCCTTCATCCTAGGAGAGCACGCTGCATATATCCAGATAATGTCACCCATCCTCTCTTTCACTCAGACACTTTTTTTCAGGACCCTTGGATGAAAGTACATCTCTGAACTCTTGCTGTGATATAACTGCATTTTATCCTGTGAATCCCCTTCTCCCCTCCTTTTTCCTTTTCCTCCTTCCGTGTCTCTCCCTTTCCCTCACCCAGCTATATCCAATGGCTCTATACTACTCCCCTTAGTTCCTCCCCATATACCATAATTTCCTAAAAGAGGCATACTATAATGGGTAGTACCCATTCTTCGGCAACCCGCAGGATGCATGCAGCAATATATACTGGGTATTGCAAATATGTCTTGCATACCTGACCAATTTACAGTATTTCCATGACACAGATGTGTCCAGTGGCCTGAAGTCCCCCACAAGATGTCTCATAAATATTGTCACTTTCGGTGTCTGATCCCTCCATACTGTAGACCCCATTTATCCCTCTATCATAAAGCTATATTAGATGGTACAATTGTTGCTTCACAAACCATACCTAAATATTATTGTACTTTACTTTCTGATAACATGTTTGATATGACTCTCTCGAATTCACTGCATGTGTGTGTCTCATATTTGCTGCCATTCCGTACTTTATGGTAAATGCCCTGTGTATATTGTATCTCATATTTTAAAAAAACGTATTTTCATGGGGGAAAAAAAAGCTGTGATGCAAAAACCATCGCCAGACCTTGTCCTAAAATACCCCTAATATTAATTTCCTGTGTATCATAGATACACAAACTTACACACCTTTTTTGTCATATAAAACATGTACTACCTAAATGTCCATTTGCGCTTATTTATTATAAAATGCTTTATAAAGCAGTAGGAGCACACATACTTTTTTTTTTTTTAGATGTGGGCTGGATGAAATCCAGTAAGCTAAGTACAGGCTTACAGTAAGCATTTAAAAATTACAATGGGAATATAACAGAACTTGTACCCATATTTGACCATGTCAAATCCTCTATGACATACAAACCTAGTTTCCCAAGGATGCTAATTGCTCAAACTAATTATAAGCCAGTTTGATGTGTATTACAAATGAAAGATTTGTAGTAAACTCTTTCTAGTTTTACAAGGCTTCCAAGACTTTTAATCACTGAGCACTACTATTGTCTGGTGTTTGATGCTCGCATCTCAGGAAGTCTGCTTAGTTTTTTTCACTGCCCGCGGAAAGTGTGTTAGAACACATTGGTGTATTAGCTACAAAGATATAAACTACAGATAGAAAAAAAAGGGAATCATTTTGCATTCAAGTCCCTGAACTATTTACAAAACTATATCTTATTTGTGTACTCACTCGGCTGTAGATGCTCAAATCATCTCTGAATTAGTGGTGACACTGTCCTTCCTTCTGGGGGGTGGCTAATTTTGTTCCCCATGGTCCCTATGTGTGTTGAAAACTAGTCACCGATAATAGTTCTGGGACTTGTATGCATTTTTAAGATTTAACTTATGAGTTTAATGATACTTTAAAAAGAATGCTTCCTAGTGTTTCAGTTTTATTACTAAACACTTTTTGTGCCCAAGCAAGCATAAAATTAAAGGGCCTTTCACCAAATAGTTAATTTGGTTATAGGTAGACACTGGTGCATCAAACCACCAGCTGGCTTCTTTTATCCTTGGACCCCAGAAGCAAGATCTCCCTGCCAACTCGCCACCCTGAATTCAGCTAGTGCAAAGACAAACAAGATAGCCTCACCCCAACTACAACAGTATCACTGGGAAACTACCCACCAACATTCACCCACACCTGGGTGATCAATTTTGGGTGGGCTAGGCCTTGAATTAGTAAGGAAGATAAAATTGTATAGGGGCTGTATTAGCTTTCCTGCTTCCATGTGCCCCTGCCTCAGTGGCAGGCCAATGGACACTATTTATCAGTTTTAAAGCAGTGGTGGTAGGAAACCATCAGTTTTAAGGGGTTTATTCAAGGGATAAAATATAATGGGTGAAGTGGAGCAAATTATCAGTTCAGGAGTTGGTTCTTGTCATCAGTGGAGGAAGCATAGTGAATGATCATTGTGAGACTGTTACATAGGGAATAAGTGAACATTGTGGCCCAGCAAAATTGAGCATGCTAGAAAGTCTAATAGGTTGTGGGTCATCAGCCTGGGAGGAGTTTGTGGATCATCTGTCCAGGATGGAGAGGAAATGCAATCAGTCCAGGAAGTCTGGGGAGAACCACAAAATGTCAGACTAGGGTAGAGTCACAGGTCGCCAGCATGGTGATACACTGATCATCCTTCTGGTGGAAGGATGAGCAGGGTAATTGATGTGAGGGAAGGTCATGAGTATTCTGTCTAGGGGCATTTACTTATCATCCGTCTGTTCACGGATCATTATAGTGTATGAGAGGTAGATGATGCCAGCAACTAATTCAATTATCTGTGTGCACAGTGAATTTAGATACTAGCACTGATTTGAGGTGGGTTTTAAAAAACTAACGCTGCTTATTGTGATCTCTGCTCGCTAGCAGTAGATATATGCAAAAAAACGTGAGGGTTTAATAACCCTTTAAACACCGATAAATGTATTCCCCAAAAGGCAGTTATTAAGCCTACAGTAAATCTTCTTTCCAAGCCTCCAAGGATTTCTACCTGAATTGAATATCCAGGAGGGAAGTACAACGATAAGTGCTAAAAGTCTTTGTTATACAGTATAAAAACAGGTCAGTTCAAAATCTGTAGGAAGAAGGCAGGGGAATAGGCCAGGATCTTTAGGGCAGGCATGATGTAGCTGTATCTAAAGCAACATGATGTAGCTGCAAGTATCTGAAGTATTCCCTTAAGGATGTTTATTTTTTGGAACAGAGATCATCTCAAGGTTGTAAATGCCACAAGTGGAGTAGGCCATTCTCAATCCTCCATGTAATATTATTTGTGTTGTTATTATTATTATTATTATTATTATCATACAGGATTTATATAGTGCCAACAGTTTGTGCAACACTTTACAAAATGAAGGGAGACAATACAATTGCAAAACAATTCAAGAAAAGGAGGGTAAAGGCGCTTGACAGAGCTTACAATCTAAAAGGCAGGGGCAAGCTATACAAAAGGTAATATATGAACTTAAATATAAAGCTATTAGAGGAAATACTTTAAAGTGATACTACACACAAATGTTTTTTTTCTACTTTTGAGTAAAGAGGAACAGCTTCAGAAATTCCTTTGGTACTTATTGCTGTGTCACTGTGGGGAGATTTACCCTCACTATATATGCTGGGAAACATTGTCCCAAAGACAAAACAAACAGAAATCTAAAATGTTACCCCTGCCACCACAACATGAGTAGAGAGAAAATCGCCCAATAGGAAATCATGTCCCAGTGACAACTGTAAAGATGCTATTTCCCCTGCACTTCCAGTTCTATTTTCAGTATATAGAAAGGTCTTCAAACTAGATAAAAAAGGTTAGGAGGGGTCAGAAGTACCTCAGAAACACCTGTAAAAGAATGAATGATAACTGATCTCAAGTGCAAGCTAAGCATACCTGAATGCTTGCTGCATTTGCCCATCTATTACAATGTATTGTTTCAACAATGCAACTTTTTGAAAAATATACTGGATTTATTCAGTCACCTATTACGTTCCTCTCTCAGGAGTTCATGTAAAACAGTATACCATGACCTTACACAACAAAAATTGTTAGAATAAAATATTTTGTAAAATCTTACTTGTGACCAAGCTCATGAGCTATAGTAAAGGCCAAATTAAGACCATTATCTTCCGCCAGGACACATTTGCGCTTAGAGCTGCATGCTCCCCCAAGGTAGGCGATTCCTGTAGATAAAATAGAAAGAGGGTTGCAGCTTTTGAACATTTTTATTTCATAATTTTTTTTATTATTCATATATTACCAGTGTGACAATTTTTTTTTGAAAAGAATAGTATTGTTTTGGTGTACAAAACAGTGACCGTAGTAAACGTTTCTAACTATATTAGAATTTTGGGATGTAGTTAAGGATGCTGGTGTTGTACCACCATCATGGGAGTCACAAACATGCTCCAACCATCAGAAAATACAATTACAAATATAAGTCACAGAATACACAGAACACTCTATACACTCTATACACATGCAAGGGAGGCTCTTGTTTTTAAGTCCAGGATGTAAAGTACTGCAACCAGCAGGGCAGCATAACAGCCAGGTACCTAGAATGTTCAAGAAAGATCAGCAATGACGATCTACTAGAGATTTGTAGGTGCTACAAAATCATTTATGTGAAATGGACCTAACGATTGCTATATATTTACTATATATTTACTAAAGTAATAAGACAATGTAATCACTTAAACCAATGTTGGGTGCTAAAGAGCTGATGAGTACAAAACTAGAGCAAATGATTCCTGATGTTAGAAAACACATTCCAGTATGTGGATCAGGAGGAAATGAGACCGTGCCATATTAATTAAAGCAAATTGCAAGTGTGTTTTTAAGATGCAGGCTTAGTGCACATGGCAGCCGTACAGTACCATAATGGTAAATTACTGGCGAGGCAGCAAGGGCACATAAACACATGACTCATTATTTCCCACAACTGGTCACCATGGGAGAGGCCCCAATAAATGCACGATTATCATATTTGCCAATAGCTACTCCCCTATGCGTAACTGATATTGGTGTTAGAGGTCAAGTTCCAGCTGTCCCAGCAGCTGAATTAAAGTTTTAAAAAGTAGATATTACTTTATGCTGGTGATTTACAGCATTACAAAAAAATGCAATGACTAGGATTAACCTACACAGAGTTGCATACTAAACATGTGCTTAAACAGATACAGCATAACCAGTACTAGACTGAATGTATATACTGTATAGCTGGACAGTTCCTTAAACAGCATGCCATCTTTTTCAATTTCAGTATATGTATTTGCCAGAGTATTCACAAGTAATCAACTTGATTCCCAAATAGGTGACTTTGCTTCTGAGATTTTTGTATGTGTTCAAGATAGGAAGTGAAGACATATCTCATATCTGGTGTTTTATCCATTCCCTATTCTATGAAAAGCAAAAAAAAAAAAAAAAGATTTTGACTTTAGATATACTTTAAAGTGATATTAAAGTCAAAAGGTTTTTAGGCTATTTCAAATGATGATGAAAATCACTTACAGTGAATGTTGATCCTTGATGTTTAAAAGATTGTTTCCTGCAGAATCAGCTGGACCCCTGATCACTGACCCCGATTTCCTGTTTTAGGTAGGGTGGCTCCTTTTCATTGCAGGGTCTAATGGCCACCCTTGTGTTTGGTAGTAAGCTGTGTGTGTCACTACAAACAAACAGGCATAGCAAGGTAAGATCCCCCAGCTCCACCCTTCTACAAGCTAGTAGATTGACAGCTGCTGGAGACTGCTCTGGCCTTGTGATTTTGTACTGGACACTAAGTTAAGGGACAGTGAGCTAAGAGATGTAACTAGAAGGACACAGACACTGATCACCAATGTAAAGGGGCACAAACACCTACTTCCAATCTGAGGGGGAGCAGACACAGAACACCAATGTAAAGGGTCACATGCATTTACTGCCAAATCGAAGGTGGCACAGACATGGACTACCAACTCTGGATATTTTTTCTTCTCATTAATTGCCAACGCCAGCCATTTTTTCCTCCAATTGACACCAACGCTGATCTTTTTTTTCCTCCCGCCGACCACTGATACCAGGTATTTATCAAAAAAATCTCTAACCTTCTTCCGAGTGTCCTAAAATGTGGCCTCTTCATACAGGTTGCCTCCCCCAAGCAGTAGTTTACAAGATTAAGGGAAAATCAATTACCGGCAATTCAAATTAAATGTTTTTCTTTATAAATGTCACTTTTTGCTGCAGCAGGTTCTATACATCGTACAGATGTGCCACTTTACAAGCAGTTTAAGGGGACCCCCCAGACATTATATTTAAAGGAATTTTAAATTTTTAATGTTTCACTTTAAGCAATGTTAAAATCTGCTCCTTTAAGAACGGTATTTCTTAAAAGTGTTTTTTGCATCGATTCCTATCCCCCAGGACAGTACCCGGATCCCCACCCCCTTTTTATGGCCTATAACTTGCATATAAGCCTTCAAAATGGGGACATTTGATTTTACAAGTTCTGGTCCCGTAGACTTTCATTGAGTTCTAAGTTTGAGTTAGAACTTTTTTCATGTTCTAATGTTCTAGTTAGAACTGAACTGAGGTGTGTTCAGCCCGTCACTAATGGGCACTACACTGACAACCTATGTAAAAATGGGCACTACACTGAACTCCAATGTATGGACTGCACAGACACTGGCCACCAATGTAAGGAAGGTACAGACACTGGCCACCAACACATTTTTCCTTTAATTGCCAACACCAGCAATTATTTCCTCCTACTGTCAACCAACACTAGTCTTTTACCTCCCGCTGACCACCAATACCAGGTATTTTCCCCCACCCTCACCACCAGCATTTTTTCCTTCCGTTCACTTTAACCACACCCACTCTTCTCCAAGGCACACAGAGTGTGTGCCGCTTGTTTTCTTTCCAGCTACTGAGGTTAGGGTTATGTCTGTGAGACTCTTACTTGTGGCACAGTAATTAAAGCAAATTTTTTGGATACCGATGGACTGTGGTATATGTGTGTCTTTCATACAGTAAGCTTATGTTTTAATCATACCCATTTAAGCCTCTCCCACTGCTAGCGCAATGAGGCCACACCAACCATTTGCACACCCCACATGATTACGTTCCTTTGGGGTGCCCCCGTTCTTCCACAATCCTAGTCATGCCCCTGGGTTATGGTATAGCTAGCAATAGTTAGTCATAATCAGCTAGACTTGTGTAATGTGTGTAATGTGTGTAATGTTGAAAATGTTTCCTCAGATCTAACGAGTGTCAGGAACATACCCCTGAATTTATACCCACATAGTTTACTCAATCACCTTAACCCAATCTCCAGGGTGTCATGTAGTGTGTTAGTGCAGACGATGATTATCCAAGAACATGACCCAATCTTTTTCCATGCAAGTGATTACAAGAAATGATCATGGTAACTGAGTTACCCAAGTGAAACTAAAGGTGCCCATACACCTTAGATTATCGTACGATAATCGTATGCGATCGACTTTTCGTACAGCAATCGTAAGGTGTATAAGGTGTATGTGTAGTGCCCGGCCGACAGTACTGTACAATCGCACGACTTTTGACGTTCAAGCATGTTTGAAAACTTTGGTCGATCATACGATTTTCAAATGGTTGGTGGCGTTTCAGTCCTTCAAAAGTCGTACGATTAACCTTGCTCATGCGCAAACGAAAATAAGTGCGGTCAATTACCGCTGATTGAACATTGCGATAATCGGGGCAGGATGGGGCCGCCGTACGGCAATCGTACGACGGTTCGATCATCGGACGAAAAGTTTTGTCCGATAATTGTAAGGTGTATGGGCACCTTAAAGGTTATAAATGACACTCACTAGAACTGAGGAAGCCACTTGGATGAGTGGTGACACGTCTTCAACATTACAGAACAAGTCCAGCTGAATGTGGCTTCTTGCCTAGTTGCTCTCTACCATAAAATATTTTGATGGAATCTCCTTTTAATAAAATAAAGCATAGATGATTTTGATGGCTACTGTTCCTTATATCGCTGCTTGCCATAACACTGAGATGCCTATATCCTGTACGTTTCTAACACGCATCAAAAAAGTCTGTATTTAATTAAACCCTCATTCGCATCAAATTTCTGGGAAAAGAAAATGAAAGCTTGCACATTTGATAGCAGCAGCTTTTGACTGGAGCTGTTATATGAAACAGTAGCATTGCTTCATTCAGACAGATTTATAGATATGTTGTGAATGACAGGCCTGTATACACTTGTTAACCGGGTTACACTGAGTTTCCACAGGCTGCTTCTCGATAGGTTACCCCAGGACAGGTCTTTAGACTGGCCTGAAAATCTGACGGAATTTCACTACTTGCATGGAAAATCTGATGGGGTCTCCTCGTATAAACTATTTATTTTCACTCTTTTAAATGACCTCAGATAAACCATCTGTGGTTCATTTTCTTCCTGTCATCCGGGAGGCATTTGTACATTTACCACTGTAAAAAACCAAAGGGTCAGTATTCAGATACCTCTAATTTACAAGGGAAGACATATAATATATCTGATATATAAACAGGCTGCCTCCCCCAAGCAGTAGTTTACAAGATTAAGGGAAAATCAAATTACCGGCAATTGAAATGTCATTTTTTTCTTTATAAATGTCACTTTTGCTGCAGCAGGTTCTATACATTGTACAGATGTGCCACTTTACAGGCAGTTTAAGGGGACCCCACAGACACGATATTTAAAGGAATTTTACATTTTTAATGTTTTACTTTAAGCAATGTTAAAATCTGCTCCTTTAAGAACGGTATTTCTTAAAAGTGTTTTTTTTGCATCAATTTCTGTCCCCAGGGCAGTACCCGGATCCCCATCCCCTTTTTGTGGCCTACTTGTGGCACAGTAATTAAAGCATGTAATCAGTGTGTGTGTATAAAAGGCCAATGGGTTTCTGGCCTCCTGACAGACCCTTGCATCCTTCATCCAGTGCTGACTGATGATAGTTATATACAACTGTATATAACTATGGAATAAGAATGCATACTGCAAGTTCTGATTTCCCTCTGAATGCATGCGCTACATAATTCTACTGGGTATGTACTTGTTCTGGGTCAGCAAGCCAGCCAAACAGCATTTTTTATGGCTTGTAACGGTAATGGCCAGTAATGGTAGCCTGCATATTGCCGCTAAGCAGGTATCATTCAATATCAAAAGACTTACCTT